GGAGCTCTGGCGTGGGCTGGTCCATGAGGCCACGAAGAGTCGGAGACGACTGAACGAATGAACAACAACAAAAATTCTTTGTTATAAAATCTCAAAAGATCTTTTCTATTCCTCATTCTACTTAAATATGTCAAAGAATACTGTGGTATGGTCATTGAGACAAAAGAGGACAGTGGGCTTTTTTTCCTTAACATTCTTTTTGTCTACTTTTTCCCTACTTTTTCCCTCCTGGAAATATAAGTGGAACAATGTAATTCCTGTTTTGTTTAATGGGATATAAGATGACCAAACTGAGGTGTGTACTTAAAAAAGAAATGAAAATTTTGATCTCCTGAAGAGATGGGCCCCAATGTGCCACCCAACATCTTTTTGAGGAATTTTACAAAATATGTATTCTTCCTTCTGAGTGTCCAGTTAAATGAACTGTAACTTAAAAATGATCTGGCAGAAGTAATTTTGCTGAATTATCCAGATGCAAACTCAAAATGTGGATTATTGTTTTTGACATTCTTAAAACAATATCAAATGTCTCACCTAATAAAGTACTTTTTTCTGGTGGTGCCAGCATTTCCTTTAACGACACATAAAATCTGCAAGATATTGTTACTGATTTTCTGTCCAACAGTTTTGTGCTTTGTTTATTGTTCATGATCTAAAGATGAATCTTCCTTACACAATGTACTCTGTATAAATGCCAAATACACTAACAGCGCTTTAAAGGGGGGGGGGGGGAACTAAGGGTTTTAAAAATCAATTTATAGTCTTTTCTCTAATGTGTGACAATATGTTTTCACTAATATGGCCCATCTTCCCACCACATTATGCGCTGTGTCTTGGAATTGTATCAACCTCAGAAAACATTGTCCTAGAAAACTTGTAGATAATTTCCTGGCTTATTCAGGCACTAAAAGCACAGATCTTAAATTTCATTTATTATTTACTTGCACTGAATAGTGGGTCACTATATTTCTATTTCTAATGACATTGTTATCAAACTCCTTCACCTCTTTAGAGATTTGATATGAATCCAATTGTTAGCTCTCAGTGGACCCATATAATTATTGGCATTTAGTTATGCGTTCAGTCTGTATTCTACAACTAAGCTAGCAGACTTATTTGGGACTAACAAGTAGGATTGAAGCTATTGTGCCCTAGAAATTGCTGGTTTCTCAAAGTGCTTGTACACTTGTAGGTAAGCTGCTTAGGTCATGGTCAAAATCCCTCTCTCCTCAAATCCATCAGAGAAGAGATGCCAAACCATGCTAATGGTTATGTACACACATCACTCCACATTTGCATTTTTTTACTTTTGTGGATTTAATTATTTATGGATTTGATAAACATTTTTTCTCTCTGGGACTCTCTAGGCTGTCCAGTGTGTTTCCATAGTCAACTTCTCTAGGTCCTCGAATGCAATTCTGTGGTCAGCTTCCAGAAGATGTTGATCTTAAAGTTGAGCTGGAAGATCTAGATATTCCTAGGGAGGTGTTATCTTACATAAAAGCAAAATAGCAATTTCTTGATTCATGGTTTTTCACTTTCACTGAGGTATTGAGTTCCTAATGCTAGTGGATGTGAAAGGCTCCCTTTTCTTGGTGGAATGATGAATGCACTCTAGGTTTCATCTGAATTTTCAAGGAGGTGTCCAAGATGCTGATCTCGCAGACTTCAGTATACTGAATAGCACTTTTAAAATCTGAACTAAAACCAGGAGCAGACCCGTAACTTCATTGGCATGGAAGCCATGAGCTATTTCTACTTGGTTATTAGAGCAGCCAGTTGATGAATGATCCTTCCTTTGGCTGGGAGATTATTTAATTTTTTTCTTTTTGCTCAAAAGGTTTTATATTTTTGTTTAAGTTGCCAGTTAGAGTGTCAGGTTAATATTTTGGAGAAGGGGGTGCTTATGTATATCATAATCTAAGAAAAATCTATTCCCTCTGTTTTGAGATTTTTTTAAAAACAAATATTCATTGGGAGGGGAGGGGGAAGCAAAACAATGAATTAATATTTTTAGGACAAGTTCTGAGAGTTAGCAAATTGCTTGCTGGGCTTATATTTTGAATATCAAATTTCAATGTTACTATGAAAGACATGTAGTTACTGGGCTTTACATGTCAGCTTAATGTCCTCTTTGGTCAAAATACGGTTAATAATGATGGCTGGAAACCTGTTTGCCAGGTCCAAATGCATAACTACCATAGTTGCAGAGTTATGCAACTTTGTGAAAAGCAACTGTTGCGATCAACAGAGGTCTGTTCCCCTGTTGCTCAGTTAGCAGCTCACTAATACTCCCATTTCCTCCTATGGATAACTTCCATTGCTTTTTATGTAACTGAAGAGAGTGCTCAAGAATAATTTGGCGTAATGTTTGGATTTTTCTTTTTAGGGCTATCAAGGAATAGCAGGAACGCCTGGTATTCCAGGATCCCCTGGGATTCAAGTAAGTACACTTACATTTTTAAACTTTAGGAATTCCTTGTGTGGTAATTATAAGTATTTTAAAAAATCATCTGAAGATTGTAATAATTATGAAGTCTTGATTCATTTAGGTCAATGTCAGACCAATTTAATATGTAGGATACCCACATATATCCTCAATAAAAGCAGTGACACATACTAATATTTTACTAGGGACCACGTGGACTTCCTGGCATGAAGGGTGAACCTGGGTCAGATGGAGCAAAGGTAAAATCTTTAATAACTGCAATTCCAGTATGTCAACAAAACATCAAGAAATAGATAATTGAAATGTTCTTGTGGCTGAAGTTGGTGCTTTCTAATTATGAAAGTTATGGATATTTATGATCTTTGTATAGAAAATATTGGTTTCTGCTAAGACATCCTACTATCTTTTTGATTTTAGCTCTTAAAATGCTTCTGCATGCTTTCAAAATTGTGCTGTCTTCCGCCATGGGATGAGCCACCCATTATTTCTTTGTGTCTTTCTAAGCTGCAAATCTTTTTGTGGATTTTTAAGTGCATTGAAAGTGATAGTTCCATCTGTGTTTTTATGTATTTTGAGTGCATTTAAGCAAGATCTGTCTAAACCACAGTAAGTAGTTTTGAAATTATTGTCCAGATGCTGACTTATAGTTATGTTTATGAAGGTTGCTTCATGTCAGGTGGTGACAGAATATACTTAATCTGTCTTTCTCCAGTAGGTCAAGATGAACTTAAAAATAAATCACCCATAATTTAAGAACATTGTACTTAAAATTAGAAATGTTAGAATCGTCAATATTTTATGAAATGTGTGTTAAAGAAATAGAGATGAAGACTTAGTTGTAACACTGATAAATTTGTAAAAGAACTCTCCATACCCCAACAACCCATGCCCTCTTTGTTTTCTCCTTGTGACATATTAGATTTTGGTAAAGATGAAACTAACCAATAAGAACACTGTACAGTGGGTTCTTGTGGGTTTTTTCGAGCTATAGGGCCATGTTCTAGAGGCATTTCTCCTGACGTTTCGCCTGCATCTATGGCAAGCATCCTCAGAGGTAGTGAGGTCTGGTGGAATTAGGACAATGGGTTTATATATCTGTGGAATGGCTGGGGTGGGGCAAAGAGCTCTTCTCTGCTGGAGCTCTTCTCTGCTGGAGCTAGGTGTGAATGTTTCAACTGACCACCTTCATAATGGGCCATCCAGTCCAACCCCCTGCCAAGAAGCAGGAAAATTGCATTCAAAGCACCCCCGACAGATGGCCATCCAGCCTCTGTTTAAAAGCCCCCTAAGAAGGAGCCTCCACCACACTCAGGGGCAGAGAGTTCCACTGCTGAACAGCTCTCACTGTCAGGAAGTTCTTCCTAATGTTCAGATGGAATCTCTATATATATTCATTGTATGTGGATAGTGCCTGTATTTCCCCCAATATGGTTATGAGGAACACTGGATGTAAAGTTCTCCCTTAAACTTGAATATTGATAGTGACAGTAGAGAAAGGGCAACCTGAATCCTGGAGAGTTTGGCTTGAGTGCCTCCCTGCATTCCAGATAGTTCATTATTGGCTGACTTCAAATTGCTATTTCTGAGAGCCATGTCTGGCAGCTATTTGAGCCTCTATTGAATTTTTAGCCAGTACATTGGAATTTGTATCTGATTCTCAATTCCTAAGGCCACTTCCACACAGCTGTTTAAAATCCAGCAGCAGTGAGGAGTGAGGATTCAGATAATCTAGTTCAAAGCAGGTATTGTGGATTATTTGCCTTGATATTCTGGGTTATATGACTGTGTGGAAGGACTCTAAGACTGAATGATAGTGAGAGTATCTTAAGTCATAGCCAGATTGAAGGATTTAGGGTTCTATATTTTGGTGCAGTTAGGAGGCTAAACAAGTATATGGATTGGTGAATTGGTGAATAATGTCATGGAAGAATGAGGCCAAAGTGGGACAGCCAAAATTTCCAGGCATTTTTCTGCTCCCTTCCTGACATGCTTCTTTGGAAGGCTTTCAGCAGTAGCAATTCCTCTGTAGATGCTATTTCACCCCTTCTCTCCCCTCCCTTGCCCCCACTTCATCAATTTTTTTCAGCCGTTTGATTGATCATTTATTTTGGAATATTTGGCAGTCTCTGTGTAATTTTAAGGGCAAAAATGGCTCCCAAACCCACAACAATGTTCCATCCCTGATATTCGCATAGGGATCTGAGAACCTCCTTTCGCTCAATATGCAAAGGCTTAAGTGTTGTTATTCCATATACTTACCTTATAGTTTTCTCTGGTGTTTTCTCTTGTGTTTTCTAGGGTGAACGTGGACCTCCAGGTTTCCCTGGATTACATGGGATGCCAGCATCTAAGGTTCAAACCAAATGCTTCTTGTAAAAATGGGTAGGATGTTAAAAAGTATCAAGGGGATTTCAAGAGCAAAATTGGTGCTTATCGCCCCATTGCAAAAAAAGTTCAAAATGCATTGGCAGCTAGTCCAGTTACTTATTTCTGTTTTAAAGAGCTTTTTGAAATTGTGGCTGCAATTTTGCATAGAGAGACATAGTTACAGGACATCAGCTGTCCAACCTCCAACCCACCTTTTCTTAGTTGCAGCCATCCTGATCTCACTATTTCCTGGTCATTGAAGCACGGTGAAAATGGAGATTATGTAGCGGCTACAATACAGTATTAAATGCTCTGTTCCGTTGTGTGTTGCTACCCTTCATAATAAAAATTCGCCTCTTCTATTTGTAGCATAAATATGGTATGAAAGAGACCATGACGCTGGATCTACACTGCCCTATATCCTAGGATCCAATCCCAGAGTATCAGCTTTGAATTATAATATATTGATCTACACTGCAAGATAATCTGGGATAAGCAGATAAGGGATCAGATCATGGGAGTTTGGGCAGTGTTAGATCCAGCCTGAGTCTTATTATTTGAGGTCAATCCCAAATTTGTCTTGTATGAAAATAATTGTGCCATGCATTCTGACCAACCTGAACCTTACTCCATAGATGGGTGTGTGTCTGTGTGTGTGTGTGTCTGTGTGTGTGTGTGTACAGGGTACCTCTGGTGGCAAAGCAGGTTAAACTGTTGAGCTGCTGAACTTCCTGACTGAAAGGTTGGCGGTTTGAATCCTGGGAGCAGGGTGAGTTCCTGCTATTAGCTCCAGCTTCTGCCAACCTAGCAGTTCGAAAACATGCAAGTGTGTGTAGATATATAGGTACCGCTTCTGTGGGAAAGTAACAGTGCTCCATGCAGTCTATGGACAACTTTGGCTTAGAAATGAACATGAGCACCAACTCCCAGAGTCGGACACTAGACTTCATGTTAGGGGAAACCTTTACCTTTACCTCTTATAGTGTGTGTTTGATTTTCATATAGTGGAAGTCCTAGGGTTGTCATTTTTTTTTGTCGTGTAAGGAGTGACTTGAGAAACTGCAAGTCACTTCTGGTGTGAGAGAATTGGCCATCTGCAAGGACGTTGCCCAGGGGACACCCGAATGATTTTTGATGTTTTTATCATCCTTGTGGGAGGCTTCTCTCATGTTCCCATATGATGGTTGTCATGATTTTACTGCAGTCTGAGAAATGTGTATCTTTGAGAAAAAATGTGTATTCCTTTTCTACATACATACCTATGGCACATCTATCTATATCACTTAAATTATTTCCTCTACTTTCACCTCAGATATGTTGGGTAATATATGTTTCACTCCTCAGCTAACTTTCTTTCATACCATAATCAAATAATCTTTGTATATTTCTTTCTATCAAGGGTGACAGAGGTCCTAAAGGAGATCCTGGGCCACCTGGAATTTACGGGAAAAAGGCAAGTTAAATTTAATACAGGAGCAAGACATTTGTATTGCCATACCAGAAGCATTCAGTGCTCATTGGAGAGATGAACAGTGTCAAATTGGAGAGATTTTGATGCTGCTGTCAGGCATGAACTTCTGTGTAGCTGAGTGATCTTAAGAATGCCACACTGTTATCAGCCTCAGAGGAGGGCAAGTGCAAACAACTCAGAAGAAACCTTGCCAAGATAACCGTGTGATAGGTTTGCCTTAGGGTTACCATATGATGACTTGAAGGCACACAATAAGGATAGAGTATAATTTGAATGAGAAGCAAACAAGGATATGATTATTATTATAATACTAACGTGAGGGCATTGTTTGCTTGGTCTCTTGAACTAGAAACAGTTTGAAAACATTGGCTTTGTAGATTGTGAACGAATGCTCAAGATTCCTTCCATAAAGACCAGAAATAGTATTGACTGTTCCAAATTGTTTGTAATAGAAATCTTATGAGTAGGAAGTAAGAAGGAGTTTTGTGGTAATGTCTAGTGTTGATAGTCATTCCAGTATGTCTGATATGGCAAGGGATCCAGTTGTTTTGCACTTAACTTGACCAGACCTGGTATGTGCTCTGGAAAATCTTGTCTCCTGCTTTTCTCTTCACTCTGAATACCCCCCCCCCTTTTAAAAAAGGTCCCTTTCTGTTATTGTCTGAAGGCTGGCATGTTTGAAGCTGCCCAGTTTTCCAAATAAGCTGTGACATTTCCGTGGCCAGCAGGCAAAGTTTGTGGTTTCTTTGAATTTGGCAGGATTTGGTCCTTTCTTTTGTGATGGACAATAAACAGTCGACTGAGGTGCTCTATTTAGGGATGTAAAATGTGTTTTTTTTCCTGACATGTCAGAACAAATAATTTCTAACGTTTTTTCTTCCCATAGAGTAAGATTACAAGAAGTTTCTGAGCCCTTTGGGGTATATTTTTGGGACTTTCTTGGGTAAAATTCATTAGCATAAAAACTTTTTTGGGAAAGCATTTTTGTGCAGAAAATAAAAGCAAAATGCACTGTTTTCTCTCTTGCACAAAATAACAAAGTTATTTTGTGCAAGAAGCAAAGTGGTTTTGTACAAATGAATTTGCTTAAAAGAAAATCTTGTTAGCATATTCAGACTGTGAAAGCAATAGCCGTTGGCCAAGATTCTGAGGCCCCACCTACACTGCCATATAAAATCCAGATTATCTCCTTTGAACTGGATTGTATGGCAGTTTAGATTAATATAATCTAGTTTTAATCAGATAATCTGGATAGTATATGTCTCTGTAGATAGGGCCTGAACTGTCAGAAATAATGATCATGATTGGGCTCCAATACTGTAATTACATTGAACATTATACCTTCCAAATCCTACCTTTACAACTTTGCCAACCAATATCCAGAGTGTTTTTGAGATGTTGCAATTAAGGTGCTGGAAAATGATGTCAACAGCATTCTCCAGGTCATGCAGTGTTCAAGAACATGCAATTGGAGAGCTGCCTTGGGATCCTGTTGCAACTGTTTTCCTTGGTGTTCCCCATAACCAGGAGAGCTCTGCAGATATCATTTCCCCATACTCTGATAGGCAACACCCTGAAAACCCTTTGGTTGCAGTATTGGTAGACTGAAAGGTGGGAGTTTGAGGTTATGCTTGGTCCTTAATCCCCATGAGCATGAACCCACAGCAGTTACAACATTGTAAGTCCTGCTTATGATATTATAACTACTGAAGAGCTTAACTTTCTTAGATGGGACAAAAATATATATGAGTATTCCTTATATTCCTAGCTCCCTTCACCTTCTTTCCTAATGACGCTTATCTTGATCTTGGCATAAGATGCACCATATTTACGGAAGTCTAATATTCATCTTTTTGGTTAATTTACATAGCTAAAAGTAAGATGCACATTAGATTTGATTGCACATTAGAATACAGTACCTAAATCTATTTGTGCTGTTGGGGTTAGAGAACCCATCTGGGGACAAAGGAGGGGGAGGCAGCGGTGGATGTGAAAAAGCTAATGGGAAGCTGGTGGTGACTGCAAAAAGACTGGTGAGAAGACCAGACGAAGTAGCACTACTTCCCACCAGACTTTTCGCAGCCACCACTGCCTCACATTAGATTTGACACGAAATCCATTTTTTGTAATGCATACCTTCAAAATTGAGATGCGCATTACATTTGATGGTTCATTTTACTCGAGTAAAAATGGGCATATCTTCACTAGTATGTGAACTACTGTGCCTTAACTCCTCTTTCTTCTCCTATGCACAGTGCATATATCACATTTTTGAGTAACTGACCATTATATTATGTAGTGACAACATGGAAGGTATTAACTGACTTCCCTTCACCACATGTGCATGACTGTCTTGTGATGGATTAATTCTTTGGACTTGCATCAGGTGGCATGAAATTCATTTTAGAATTAGTTTATCATTTGATTTCTTAACAGGGAGCGAAAGGAGGAAAAGGTGATGGGGGATTTCCAGGACTGCCTGGCCGGCCTGTAAGTGTTTCTGAATTTTATTTTAATTTTTACTTACTTACTCAATATCTAAATAACAGCATATTAACTATATTTTCACAGGGCGATCCTGGGAGGACAGGGAAGGATGGTTTACCTGGAATTCCTGGCCTTAAGGTATTTGAAATACTGAAATAATCAAGCTGTTATTTGAATTAATACACATTAAGCATCCCTTTTCCAAAATGCTTGGGACCAGCAGTGTCTTGGATTTTGAAATATTTACATACACATAATGTTGGAGGTGTTACCAAACCTAAACACAACATTCATCGATATTTCATAAGGTAATTTTATATGCAACGTTTCAAGTAATATTTGTATTCAATGTTAATAACATCAAATAATAACACTGAACTACCAGAAAGCAAGGATATCACCATCTCAGCCACCTATGTGAACAGTTTCAGGTTTGGAGTATTTTGGAATTCCACATAAGGGGTGTATTGAAAATAAACTTTCTTAGATAAGTTCACTTTTTATTCTTTTAAAATTTACTTTTTTGGAGGAAAAGGGTCTCCGCTAAATAGTCCCTTGGTAATAAGAGAATGAGGCACTCTCAGTGTACCATTCGAAAGATGCCAAACAAGGAGAGGAGAGTGCCAAGCAGTCATGCCCTGTGACAACCCAGGAGGCCTCTTTTGCTGGTGGTCTGGCTTCAGTACAGCTACCCAGTGGGTCTTTGACCTCATCTGCCAAACAGAAGACTCAAGTCTATTCAATTGCTTCTGCCACCCCATGATAACCATTAATCAGAGGGGTTCTTTCTGTCAGAGAGGAAAAGCAACAAGCTAACAGATGGAAGGAAGGGTCAGATGATCCCTCCACACATTGAAATTATAGTAGCACTAGCAGGATTGTGAGAGTCAGCATCAACATGTAACAAAAACATGTAACATTTCTTAATACATTAATTTAAAAATGTGTGATTATATGCATTGAAAAAGACTATAACAAAGTTCCACTAGTGCAATTATTTGTTAGTCCAATTGCAATCCCTGATTGAGAAGGATAGCAAATCCAGTTCTGTATTCAAATATTCTGAAGCATGGATCATTGAGCCAGCGATGAGACAGGTATTTGTGAGTTTTATATGGCTGTGTTGCAATCCTTTACCAGTTAAAATAATCATAGAAAGGCATATATGCAGTATGTTCATTAAAGCATACTGCACTTACATAGACCTGTAGAGTAAGTACTCATTGTAATGCTCATGAATTTCACAGACGGGCATCTTCCTTACAATAACCTAACAGTATAAAAACACATTACATTCTGAATTTGCTACAGGTTTATATGGTAACTTATATAGCAAGTCACGTGTCTTCAAGTTGCCTGTAAGCTTATGGTGTCTCCATTAATTTAACCAGGATTGCTTAGGTAAGGAATACTCAAGAGTTACTTTTGACAGTAAAGCCCATAGCACCTAGTATTCATTAGTGGACTCCCATCCAAGTTCTAACCAGGACCGACCCAGCCTAGTTCCCAAGATCACATGGGATCTGATGGTTTTTGGATATTTTGTCCTTACAGTCAGTCTGAGGCAATCCTTTTGGAGAACAGGAACAGGAGTTTACAGGACTTTTTCAGTTGGATTATAAAAGTAGTATTCTCTTATTCATATTGCAGTAAAATGTTGTCAGCTTGCCCTTCAACATCTGCTCTTCATTAACTATCACTTTATTTGGGGCTTACTGTAATCAAACTCAGAGGCACTTAACAAGCGAGGCATCTTTGGAGATTTCTGCTGGAGTCTTCCCTGTTTCTTCAGAAACATATTCATTCTTGGAAACAATAAGAAATAACTTAGTTCTACATAAAGTCCATCATTTCTACATTTGGCCTTTGTGTGGTCACACATGTGGGGATGTTCTTCTGTGGAATTGTCAAACTATAATAAACTTTTGAAATATGGGTAAATTCTCATTTTCCTCCCTGTTTCTTTTCAAAATGCCACAACTGGATTCAACAAACTCCGTCGTTTGTATTATAGTCTTAGCCACATCAGGCATGGTTGGTGAAATGCCATGTCATGAATACTTCAGCACTGCAACATTTCAGCTCTGGCTAAGGAAACAACCTTAGGAGCATGGACCCACCCAACATGCCCCCCCCCCCATTCTTGGAGAAGGACTAAAAATACACCTCCTCCTTGGTTTCAGCAATTAGCACTGATATTAACCATGGCTAATACTTACACACAATTTCCACCCAAACAGGGTGTGGGATTCGCTACAATCTACAATTTTCTCTGTGATGGGCTAGTAAAAGTACTAACAAACCTCTTAACCATGGTTAATACACAAATGCAGGATGGGTGATGCCTGGTTTAGCAACAGTACATGTCAAAAGGCTTTTGGAGTCTTAGTAGACAACAATGTGATGTAGTAGTTAAAACACCAATGGGTTGCATCACAAGGAGTATAGTTTCTAGATCAAGGAATCTATGCCTATCTATTCTGCTTTGACCAGGCCTCATCTAAAATATTGTATCCAATTTTGGACACCACAATGACTTTGACAAGCTGGAATGTGTCCAGAGGAGAGGATGTAGAGCATACACAGTATTTCTGAGATGGGATTCTGATTCATTAACCATGTTCAGATGGATGTCAATCATATATATACAACCCATCCTGTTCATTCTAATCTGTTTCAAAGAAGGAAGACAATGTGCTCCATTCACACCTTGTACCACAGAGGAGTCATCCATGAAACCAATTTCTGAAGAGGCTTTACTGCTAACATGCAATATTCATATTTTTGATGTCTTGGATCAGTGTGCCAGGAAACACTAAAATCCCAAGTGCTAAACCATGACAAATGGCCAAGACTCACTTCATATTTCATGGAAAAGCTGCTTATTCTTCAGCCTTGGATTACATAATGCCCTGAAACCTAGCTGGGAGGGCCCCTGTGTACTAAATACATTTCTTGCTGGCATCTTGTCCACTTACAAGATGACATAAAAAGAAGTCTTCAAGCCAGTTTCAGTTCACAGGCAAAGATTCTTATACATGCAGACTAGATCTCCAAGTAATTGTCCGTAAGAGGAAAAAAGAGATAGATACACTGAACCACAGACAAAGCTACTAATGTATAGTAGGATGAGAAGCTCTATCATAAATGCTGTAATGCAAGTTCTTTGGGCCACTAAAAGGCTTGAAGAAACTAACTCCACTGCCTAAGAAATGCCACAGTGTGGTATAATTCAATAACATGGGCATATGAAAAAGTGAAATAATGGATTCAGAACAAGATTAAGGTAAACATAAAAATGCAAAATAGGGAGGATTCCCACTTCATGTATACCATGATACTTCTAAACTTTTAGTAGTCTGGGGAGCCATTATTCCAACTTGGGATAGATCTCAGAGATTAAGTGTATAAAGATGGATCCAGGCAAAATGGAAACTTCCATAGAAAGATTTGTGCTCTAAAAACTGGAGTTCAGTGTGATGCAACAGGTTTTTGTATTGCAGATGAGAACTCACATTTTTACAAGTTTTCTTCATGGGATGGAGAGTATGGACTCCTCCCTCCTCCTTCTGAACTGATCCAAGAGTGTTGTGTCTGCTTCTAAGCAGCCAACATATAAAGAGAATAACATATCATTGATGGCCTGCTTGACCTCTTTTGATATCATGGCCATGATGAGGTGATTCGTTTGGCAGGCTCCAAATCCTGTTCTCCATCCCGTCCTGAAGTATACGTTTTCTAAGTCCCTGGAAAAGGAACCTCACCCACTGTCAATTGACATTCTACTCATGTCAGAAATAGATGTTCACTACATGATACCCTCAACCTACTTCCCTTTCTTGTGTTTATATCTTTCTTATCCCTCTTTAACTGTATTGATTTTGCCCAAATTGGTTATGACCCTGTAAATATATTAGCAATTAAGTAAATATTATTAATGAATTTAACATTATTATCTCTGACAAGGACAAGACAGCTAACTTTTATATTTTTTATTTAGAAAAGCATCAAAGTGGATCAGTCTATCCCTAACCACCACCACTAGTTTTTAATAACAATTATCTTATTAGGTGTAGTATGTGCGCGTGCACACACAAGAAATGTAAGGGATATTGTTACATTTTTGAGATGTGTTGAGGCACCCCATAAAAAAAGTTGTCAATCACTCTGAAATGTGTTTGTCTTTCAGAACGTTTTATAAAAATTCCACAGAGTTTGTACAGAGTGTATTGTGCATTTTGTGCAAAATTCAGAACATTCTCTGTCAAAGTTTATATTTTGCGCACACACACAACACATGCAAACATTTGTGTGGGTAAAAATATTTTGGGCAAACATTAAAATCTTAACAAATTAATTGTATATTGTATTGGTTATTGTTCATCTTTGGCATTGAATATTTGCCATTTTTCTGTTGGAAACTGCCTGAGCCCCCTCGGGGAGATAGGGCAGGTTACAAATAAAGATGATGATGATGATTATTATTACTATTGCAAAACCATCCCAAGTATAGTTTAGCAAAAAAAGGTAGAAAATCCCATTGCAACAAATTAAGATAATTAAAATTTCCAAAATATGTTATTCTCTCACCCAGTTGGGAGAAAGTTTGCTCTATATTTTCTTGTGTGCCAAAATAACTGAAGATTTACTCTCTTAGCACACATAGGATTAGTCATTTTTGTTTTAAGACTTAAACCACTGACATTACACCATATGTAATTATTGTGATGGAGATTATATGATGCATCAAAGCAGGTATTAATCAAAGGCAGGGGGTGGATGGGCAGGCTTGGGATCTGAGAGATAGTTTGCAATCCATCTGTAATATGGAAAGTTTAAACAGTGGCTTATAATTGTGGGGGGGGGAGGACTACACTGGGAAGCATTTTATCTACATGTGATAATGTCAGGTTTCCCAACATACTTTGTACATCAGCCATATATTGGTTAAATGTAACTCATTTCATTCCATGAAATAAAATATTGAGTCTGCACTGAAAAAAAATATTGTTTTATCTGATTGCTCATCAATATTAAGGGAGAAGACGGACAACCAGGTTCTACAGGGCCAGAAGGAAGACGAGGAGACCCTGTAAGTCTTTCAGCAAGTTTTATAACTATCAATCATTAGCAATAATTTCTTTATAGACTGTTTAAGAGGTCCAGTTTATCATGAATCCATGAAGTGTGAGGCAAAGCAATTTAAGACTATTTTTGAGTCCACAGTGATGGTTGATTTCAGACTTGTGGGATCTTCTTGGTTTTCTCTGACACCTGTCCACCAACTGGATCTACTTAAGCTTGAGATTTCCATGTTGGTGAGGCAGTAGATTTAGCTATTCATTCAGTTCTTTGAAGGATCTGTTTGAGGTGCTGAATGTGTTTTGGGATAAGGTCTAGCACTTTGGATAGCTCCTTTAAAATCTGGGTAACATGTAAAGCAGAGCCACTGCTGCACTGATGTGCAAATCACATCACTCTTAGTGAAAAGTGTAAAATAGTGTTGGTGGAACACAATAAAATTACAAGAAAAGAGGTTCTATCTAAATATTAAGATGAGATTATTTACTGCAAGAACTCTTGGACATTGTAATAAATGGTTTTGGGAAGAGAAGTTTCTTTAGAAATTTTTAAACATAGTTTGTATGGAAATCTTTCAGGTTTGCTGTAATTGTATCTTCCAGCATGGCAGGGGTTTAGACTACATGGTGTGTCTGTTTCCAACTCTTAAGATTCTATGATCCAGTGAACAGTTTGAACAAAGGAATGTTGTTTCACTGAATGCATTGTTAGCCTGAAAGTTTGTTATGATTCCCAGAAATGGATTCATAATGTTTGCATGTATAAAAAGCCATTACTGGTTTTCATCCAAGCATTCTTCATTTAAGTTGTCTATTCTGCTCAATAGGGTGAGATCGTAAAGCTTTCAGCAGTTCAATAATCCTTCCCAGTCTGTTACAAATCACCCAGAGGTCTTGAAACACGTCATCGTCTTTGTTCATTTCCTCTAAAAAATGAACTCTAGTTTTCTATGATTCTATGAATATTACTTCTTTAGAGCTGGTCATTCTCCTACCAATCTCCTCTTTCAGGACTGCTCATTCCATGGAAAAGGTGGTGGGAAGTTGAGAATATTACTGGCAAATATGTGTGATGCGCTCAGATTGAAAAACATAGCTGAGAGTAGGGAAGGGTCAGTGCTTCTTTCACGTTCTCCTTGGACAGACAATGCTTTTGCGCTTTGACACTTTATTTAGAGAAGGGAATGTTTCCTCTTTTAATCAAAGTTAGGATACAGTACTTTTATTGACCTGTGGATGAGTTGACCCAAGTTTTTGATTTTATGACTAAAATTTCTAGACTTATACATGAGCAAATAAAGTGCATGTCTGTAAGAATGATGTCGGAATTATTAGAATACATATACATCTGAGGAGCAAGAAGTTTGAAGATGATGCTTGCTGTGAGTTCAGTAGTTGGCATTTCCTAGTTCATGAGGTGTAGAAAGGAGGATTATTGCATTGCCAATTTCTCTATGATTCAAAAAAGATGCAGGGTTGCATTCAATATACTCTCCTTATGTTATTTATTTGTTTATTCACAATATGCTAACCAAAAATGAAGGCTCTCTGAGTGGCATGAAAGTTTTTTCCTCATGGGAACACCATAAGATTTGGCATGCATGATTTAAAGCTGTGGGTAGGTTTAATGCAGGAAAACAATCTTCAAGGAGAAGCAGGCAAGCTGGTAAGGTACTCACAATTAGACTTTTATTGCCATCACCTAACAGTTAGAACCAAAGGCGTCTGGTCTTCCTCTTTTCCCCCTTTTCAGTGTCCATTTTTTATCTTCCTCCCAGTCCCACACTTTCACACACCTTCATTGTCTCCAGCTGATATTCATCAACATGGCTTGTGTCTCTTCCCTTTGGTTAAGAGGGATATGTATTCTTTATCCAAGGATGGGATCCTCTGGCTTCCTTACACTCTTACAGAGGGTTTTTGAGGAATCCATTAAAGCCATAAGATATAAACGAATGACTACATGTAAATGAAATAGGCCAAGGACAGGGCCTGCTGTGTGCCATCGAACGACACATGGCAGACCCCACCCACTTTCCTCCTAAAATCAGGAGGAAGCACCAAAAGGTGTTTCCTCCACAACTATGGGAAGGAAAGTGTATTTGGGGTAGGTCCAATGGAGCTACCCACACTTTTGATCCCATTTCCCCATGTGATGGCAGAAAGGGCAATGGGTCATTGCTGCCCTTTCTGCCATCTGATGAGGGGAGGGAAAGGGTGTCAAAGTACCCTCTCCCACCCCCTCTGTGTGAACAGGGGAGGAGGGAAGCTGTGCAGGGGCCCACAAGCCACCCTACATGCCTTCCCTTTCACCGGTGATTGCTGGTGCAACAGCATGACCCAAAAAGGTCCATAGATTCTGGCTGAGATGTTGTCAGTTAAGATGGTATTGAGGTGCAGGTTGAGGACATTCCCTCATTGGCTTGGTGAAAACAAGAACAAAGAGTAATAAAATACAATTAATAAAATTTTAGCTCCATCCAGTTATTTCTGTCTTGAGAGAAGTTACTTTTCTGTTCCTAGCCAGTGCCGCAAGGTGTTTTATGCTTTGGAGTCGCCCCCCAAAAGGCAATACTTTATAATCACTGCTGTTACATTTGTCTGAAAGTAGAGTACAGTAAGGAAGAAGAAAATTGGGTCACTGGAAACATGTGGTACCTTTCAATGTCCAAAAATCTCTGCAAGTAGGAGACATTTGAAGAACATGCCTGGGCAGCACTACACTTTTTTTTTGTCTATTGTGCTGACTTCAGTAGTATTGGTGCCAGGAAAATCAGTGTTTGTGTTCTGTATAAACAAACAATGTTCCGCATATGCCAATGAACTTTAGGAACAAAGATGTTTCTTCTTTCAAATAAAAAATGGCCTGCATTTTATTATCTGTTAGCCAGTTTGCCTCTGTAGAAAAAGGGGGATATTAATTCTCAAAGACAGCCAGGTAGGTAACATCCTCTGAATTGTACATTGCCACTGTATTCTCTTTGGTTATATAAGAAAACAAAATATCTAGCTTTGAAGTGACCAGAAATATTGGTTTCTTATTTTACTTGTGCATTCCCTCTTGCTATCCCTTCTGGTTATGTAGCTGTGAGGAGGAAACCAAAAACTTTGGTGAGAACCAAATCTGAACTACAGTAAGTGAAGATGAGCCAGGACCAAGCCATAATTTCCTTTTATATCTGAACTTGTACTTCATTTAAAATGATTCTGTTAATGGAGTATAGTTGATTATCATTGTTATGCCTATGACAAATAAATGTGCAAATGCCCTAAGTGTTTTTCTGAATGGTATCTCAAATATAATAACCACAAAATACGAATTGAAACTAAGTGGATCTTACAGAGTATCACTATTTCCTATAATGATACACTTCAGAATCAATTGGGGTTCTGTTTGAAAGTCTACATTCAGAATACTATTGAGGTGGTCTGTCAAGATTTTCCCTGGAATAAAATTTTTGACGTGTTGCCTTAGGGCATATTGGGGCCAGTGTGGTTTGGTTGTTCGAATGTTGAACTGGGAGTTTGGAAAACCAGGGTTCATATCCTTTTTCAGACATGGAAATCAACTGGGTGAACTGGGTGAACAAGTCGCACTCTCTTCCAATAGGGCACTGGTTCTTTCCCCTCTCTGTAGAATGGCTTTTACTTATCCACAGGTCATATCAAAATCCATAACTGTGACCCCAAAATCTACCCTTGACTTATACACAAGGTCCACTTATGCATGAGTATATATAGTAGGTTTCATAACTGTTTCCCTCAAAACATAAGGGATTCCAACCTTTACATTTGGTGGCCCCTAAAATGTAAAGATTCGTTGTATATAAAACTCTTGACCAATTCTGAATAATTATTCTTCACTTCATAAGGTGAAACTGCTGTTGAAAATGTCATCTGGTTCGAACAAGAAGTAAAAGTTATCAGCCATTCCATTACTAAAGAAGTTGTAAAAGTATTTGATTCAAACCTCTGCATCTTTTAAAATGAAAATTAGCAGTCATAACTTTCCCTTGAGGGACTGCTATGCCTGGAAATTTCCAGCATAGAATTTTGGCAATTACTATATAAATTCTGGGAATTTGGACAAACCAAAAAGTTTTATAGCTCTTTGCTTGTTTCTAATAATAATTATCATCAGTGGAAAGAGTAAAAAAAAATAGATGAGGAAATTTCAATATTATACTTATCCAAACTGGGCTATTTTCAAAATCACCAACTTGTCTTGTGTGCCCGTTTTTTCAGTATGTTTTGAAGAAGAAATACAAGGAAGCATTTATAAAACTGGGTTAAAAATAAATGGTAAGGCATGGAGCAGAATATCACTGCCTGGAGTTCTGCTGATTGCTCTGGGATTGATACCCATTAGAAAAGATCCCAAGAGTGGCAAATTCAACACCATAAGGAAGGCTGAGCAAAGGAAGATAGAAGCTTTTGAACTGTGGTGCTGGAGGAAATTTCTGAGAGTGCCTTGTGTTGTGCATAGCTTGTTTCAATCAGGTTCAATGCAGAAGACACAATAACATTGCACCCAGGCATGAGGAAAAAGAACAGAAAAACTTTACTCTTATCAACAGAGTTTAAACATAAACTTGCAATGTTGCAAACAAAAACAAACAGTGCAACAAACTTACATAGTCCTTGTAAGCAATACAGAATAAGGCTTCTTCATCTTCATCCAAATGAGAGAGCAGTAGAAATGGTTGAGCAAAATGCCTGAGCAAAGGCTCCTCAGAGCAAAAGCTAAACTGTATTCTAAAAACCATACAGTTATACCCCACCGGATGTGGACTAAACTTACCAGTTGACCTACATTAGCAGCTGCATATAATAATCAGTATAAGGATTTCTTAAAACACACACATACTTGCTCCTGTTACAACTTACAGTAACACCTTGGACCGCAAGAAGATCAAACCAGTCCATACTCCAGGAAATAAAGTCTGACTGCTCACTGGAGGGAAGGATATTAGAGGCAAAAATGAAGTACTTTTATTTATTTATTTATTTA